CCAGCTGGACCAAAAGGAGAATCTGGAAGACAAGGTTTCCCAGGATTTAGAGGACCGAAGGGTAATAAAGGAGCACAAGGACCACCAGGGACTGTGGAAGACGGAAACATTCCTGGACCACAGGGTCCAAAAGGAGAAAAAGGCAGTTCTGGTATTCCAGGAACAAATGGTAGGTGATGTTAATGAAATGATAGTATGAGTAGGTGGTGTTAATGTAAAAATGGCATTGGTAGATGGTGTTAACATAATATGTTATTGATAGGTCCTGAGGGAAGTAAAGGGGCAAATGGTGAGCCTGGTCCAAAAGGCAGCATTGGCAATTCAGGCCTACCTGGGCAAAAAGGAGATACTGGTCTTCCTGGTCGTCCAGGCTCACCTGGYKCCAAAGGRKMTCGTGGAACAGACGGTACAAAGGGAGATGCTGGACTGAAAGGTGATGCTGGAMAACCAGGTTTCCCTGGTACAAATGGTCAAAATGGGGATCCAGGGAGCCCAGGAATACCAGGTAATCCATGGAAGTATTTGTCATGTAAATAATTTCAGAAAAAAAGTAATGGGGTAAGCAGATAGTATGAATTCTCAGTAGTAACAAATCACTGATTTTAGGTCAGCCAGGTCCTAAAGGAGAACCAGGAAGAGGAATACAAGGGCCACCTGGGCCCCAAGGTCCTGYGGGCCCTCCTGGCMCAGATGGATTCCMAGGACCCAAGGGTGACAGAGGTGATGATGGAGAACCTGGCATTCCTGGACCAGGTGGAAAGAAAGGAGAAAAAGGTGCAGCATTTACTTTTGGCAAAAACRGCTAGTATAGAGGATAATATATGGGCGCTCGGAGACTTATTAATCTTGTCATGCTGAAAGCCTAGTTGAAATCCATATCTGAAAGCAACCATTATCTRTGAGAGCAATCTGCTTTAAATTATCTTATATTTAACCTGAAATATATAGAGRTACCACTATGACTTGAATAAAAGAGAATATAAGAATATTCTTTTTTGTTTTCTTTCTGATTGGCTTTTTTTAACAATATTGGTTATTGCAGAAAAAAAATATGAATCATTATCAACGATGAGTAAATAGTGCTTAGCTGTTCCACAAATTGGCTTAGAAAGCAATTATGATATCAGTGTTGTTGATTTACCAGGTCTTAAGGGTGTCAAGGGAGTCAAGGGCGGTAAAGGTGAGCTCCAAATAGAACAAGGYCCCCCTGGAGCACCTGGACTACCAGGTCGAGATGGTCTGGATGGTGAAAAAGGTCTTAAAGGTGAAAGTGGTAATCCAGGAAATCCAGGTCCACTAGGACCTCGAGGATCACGAGGTATGTGTAACGACAGTCATTGCGATTCCCAAATACTTGAAATATTATGAATACTATAATTAACTTTAGCTTATTAATAAGAATCRCGGATATGGGATCTTTTAAGTAATGCACTAGTCAATAGAACTTCCTGTTCCATTTTTACCACCTTACCAAGAGAGCGGGCCAGGATAGCAGTGGCTTTAACAGTCAACGTACCCCCAAATACCAGGGAAAAATTCGATTTTAACATCACACAAATGTTAGATTTCCGCAGGTTTCCTGGGGGTCAGGGTGTTTCAATTGACTAGTGTATAAGCCTCCCTTCGCTTTTTACAATTCTCCTTTGAAAATTATTGCCTCATCCATTTTGCACTGTTAATACAGAGCAGTTTCCACTGTAGTATGGACTTAATGATAGTGTGGTAAACTCCATCTTTTTTAAAAGGATTTAAAAAAACTCCCATAAAATGGACCGTAATAAACCTATTAAATAGCACAATGTTATTAATTTGCTATAAGACGAACAGCAAACAGAAAGTGTCACTAAGTACATCTTAAAGCAGTAAAAAGTGTTGTTTTTTGGGGGGCATGCACTAAATAGAAATAAAGAACTTWGGAAAGCCATAAGGTACAATGCATTTCACTTGCTATGTACTTTAGTTTTCCGCACCTAGAGGTATAGACGGAGTTCATTAATACTACCATCATGATCAATTAGGTGACAAAGGAGATCAAGGATCCCGTGGATACACGGGTTCACAGGGTGGTCGAGGTGACCCTGGCGAACGTGGCCCAACAGGATCAAAAGGAGAGGTTGGTAATCCTGGAATTTCTGGTGTCAAGGGTGAACCGGGACTCCCCGGAATGAATGGAATAGATGGTGATAAAGGAGACAGCGGATTGCCAGGAATACCTGGCACACCCGGATTACCTGGAAGCAAAGGACAAAAAGGAACTCAAGGTAAGGATTCAAAAATATTCCCAACAGAATCATAGCACTTGGCGGTAAGGATTCAAAAATATTCCCAACAGAATCATAGCACTTGGCCTTGAGTTATGTTAAAATATTCCCTTAAGAGAATCACAGCACTTGGCCTTGAGTTATGTTAAAATATTCACTTTTTCATATTATATCGTATTGTATTTCTCTGCGGCATGAAGTTTTGATATGTAAATGGGGTCTGTTGCTGCCCTAACTCACAGTGCCCCAACTGGTTACAGATAGATTAATACTGATGGAAAGTTAGGAGTAAAAGAATCGTTTTGTCCATTGTAATGTGAGGTTCGTTCCATGATCGCACACACAAAAAACAGATTTTTGCATTGTTCAAGTTTATTCAAGAGAAACGCCGGGGGCGATTTTGACGATGGTAAGCGAAAAATTTCACACTTTATTCGCCAGGAATGAATTGAAACTTTCAGCAACATATACTATGTTTTTGAGTAATTGCTGCTTGGAGTTTTCGACTGGTTATGCCTGGCTACTGTAGTTCACGTACACCTACTCTGGATGAAAAAGAATTAATAGGGAAATATATGTGAATCGATAATTACAACCGGACTGCAAAAATAGTGCTGCTTTCTGAGGGAGTAATTATCATTTTAAATTAGATATCAGTGATAGTCTATATAATGYATAGAAATGTCTTGGTAATTGACTCTAAAAGCCCTCAGCTGATGGACGACATTTTAATTGTTAAAATTCAATAAGGTCTCAGAGGTCCTGATGGAAGACCTGGTGAAGATGGACCTGCAGGTCTTAAAGGTGAACCAGGTACAGCCGGTATTCCTGGATTGAAAGGAAAKMCAGGATCGCCTGGAAATGATGGTCAACGTGGCGACAAAGGCACTCCTGGTCTACCTGGCTTCAAGGGAGCTAAAGGTGAATCTGGACGTGATGGTCAATCTGGTATACCTGGTGACAAAGGAAGCACTGGCAGWMGKGGWTTCCCTGGTKCAAYCGGTGTCAGGGGTGARGTTGGACCCCCTGGAGAACCYGGAATCAAAGGAAATAAAGGATACTCTGAAGGTATTGTGAACTTGTGAGTTATCATCGCTGRCAGTTATAGGTAGGCCTAGTGGATGATCTACGGTATTTTTTAGTCATAAATCGACATAAATRATTGTAATAATAATGTAACATATTTGTTCCTCAGCAAGGGATGGGCCACCAGGAGAAAAAGGAAATGCAGGATTTCCTGGTTTAAGAGGCGAAAAGGGAGATCGAGGCCCATCTGGTTTCKSTGGATTACCAGGAGATAAAGGAGATAAAGGAGAGATGGGAAAAGACGGAAAAGAAGGACCTCGTGGTAGGGATTCATTGTAGGCATACTTCATTTAAAAGTGTTTTATAAATTCTAACATCAATTCGAGTTGTCTATAAACGTTTGTGTACGTATATGAGTGATGTTTTGACTGTATGTTCAGGCTAGCTTCATTAATACGATCAGCAATCTAGTCCTATCCACTGGAAAAAATCGCGCACTTTAAAAGGTTGTATATTTGATGTAAATATTATGTAAATATCCAGAATGATTTATTTTTGATGTAAATGATACACATCAAATTTACATCATTTTGGACTCTTACATATCATCAAAGTGGTGAATTTTTTTCCAGTAATCTACCTACCAAATGTTAAGTTTGGCATATTGTGTTTACAATTGGCTATGCTGGCCCCAYTCCTCGTGCTGTAGGCTAATTRATTATTTTTACATAGGTGTTCSGGGTCCAAGGGGCGAGGCGGGTGATAAAGGTGATCGCGGTCTACRGGGATYAGCCGGTCCTACCGGTATACCGGGTGTTCCTGGTGAAGCTGGCAAATCAGATTTYGGTTTCTTTGTAACTCGTCATAGTCAGACGGATCAAGTGCCGGATTGCCCCGGAGGTGGTGTTTCCATGTGGGAAGGTTACAGTTTACTATATGTACAAGGAAATGAGCGTGCGCATGGACAAGATTTGGGCAACCCTGGATCATGCTTACAACGTTTTACAACCATGCCTTTTATGTTTTGTAACATAAATAATGTCTGTAACTTGGCTTCTAGAAACGATTACAGYTACTGGCTATCAACTACGGCTCAAATCCCAATGATGCCTGTTCGAGAAGAAGAAGTCAAGAAGCATATCAGTAGATGTGTTGTGTGTGAGGTTCCTTCGCACGTAATGGCCGTTCATAGTCAGACGRATAYAKWGCCTCCATGTCCTAATGGTTGGGACCCATTGTGGCAAGGTTACAGTTTTCTTATGGTATGCAGCACGAAATCCATTGTTTTTGACTTTGTTAATTCGACTCTCTTACATAAATTAGTATTTATTTATTAGCCATTCATMCCGGTTGTTTTTCTTCATTCATATCTATTTCAGCATACAAGTGCTGGTAATGACGGTGCTGGTCAAGCGTTAGCATCTCCAGGGTCTTGTCTAAGTGATTTCCGCGCACATCCTTTTATCGAGTGCCATGGCCGAGGTACCTGTCAATATTACGGTAGCACTTACAGTTTCTGGTTGGCTACCGTTACAGAAAGAGACCAGTTCCGTGTCCCGCAACCTCAAACCMTAAAATCTGGTAATTTAAGAGATCGCGTGAGTCGCTGTCAAGTATGCATTAAGAGAGTTAAAAGGGATACAGGCAGTCAAATAGGCAGGTTACAGAACTAAGAAACCAATAAAACAAACCAACCAACCAGCAATATTTTAGTATTAATGACATTTTGAAGATCAAATATTCGTGCTTGTCATGTTCTTTACTTTAAATACTAGAAATGACTAGAATAGTGTACAGTTACCTTTGTTATCATTATTTTCAAAACTTTATGAAGAATAGCTATGCTAGATCGGTAATTAATGTACTGGCTGGCTTGGGTCCTCATGACAAGAAGACAAAAATAGTAGTACCTCGTTGACGAGCAAAGTAACCGTAAACCGTAACCACAGCAACAACCGTAACCAAAGCAACAACTGTAACCACAGCAACAAAGCTAACCACAGCAACAACTGTAACCAAAGCAACAACAGTAAAACCACAGCAGCAACAATCGTAAACATAGCAACAACCGTAAACATAACAACAACTGTTAATTGTTGTAGGAACGTAATAAAAACAAACGCATCAACTAAAGATCGTCAACAACAAGTWCTAGCAGCTCAATGAAACTGATTTTTGAAAATGACAAAAGCAGCATTCATTCCATCTGATATTAAAAAATACTACAGATAGTTCACGAAAGGTGACATGAATGTTTTTCTAATTCAATTAGTAATTGAAATTCTTAATAGAATAATTGTCCGAACGGTAGTGTACAGTATATTTGAACATGTGGAGCGCGGGTTGTTTATGCTCCTAAAGAAGACGTATATTCCCCTTTTTCATTTTTTTCGCCATCATTTCTAATTATGACAATTCATGCCACGCTTTTTGGTAAGCTATTTGATAAATTGATAAATACTTGTTATAGTTTATTATATAAATATGGATATTGTTTTTAATCGCATATYATGAGGTTTAACCGTATACGCATACTACACGTACGTCACCCTAAATCAACAWGAAAAAGCTTACTGACAGGTGAGGTCCGAGTATATTGTGTTTATACGGTAAATACTATTTTCAAACATTGKAGTTAAGATAGATTAGTTTCTATAGTTTCCCGTGATATATTTACTGCTACCATTTTTTGTGTGACTGTAAGTATTGTTTAATTATTTCACTCTCCAAGTCTGCAATGGTTAGAAAATTGCATTTGTTGTTTTACACGCCGGRGTTAATCGTCGAATTAATTCATTTAACTTTATTCTGTTCAAAWTTCAATTTATAATGACGTTTTCGGAATCTTTTGAAATGAAAGTTCAGGGTAAAAACTATATCAAGTTAAGAGATTTGGAAATTCTGTAAATGAGTTCAAAACAATGTCCAATGACTTTCGCACGTTTGAAAAAAAAACTTGACTTTCTTATGAGAAAAGTTCGACGTTTGACCAGGCCTTCCTAGTTAGTGTTKTGATATTTTATAATTTAGCTAGTAATTTGTATTGGGTAATATTATCATCAGTTTTGTTCARTAATTTTTGCTATATAAACTGTAAAAGTAAAAGCTAAATAATTTTCATAAACAAAAGAAAAACAAACAAAAAAATGAAATAAATAGATCTAGGTATTGGGCTCATAGATTGGTAATGACGTAGTTGATATATATCATTATGATTGGGTTATAATTATAAATAAATAGATGTTTTTAAAAAGAAGAGTAATTATATTTTCTCTACTGGGATTCTCTAGACTACAAATATTTAATGATGTTAATAGTGGATTTTAGCACAATTTGTGGTCTATAGTCAGAGTGTCGAGAGTGAAGCACCGGTGATGGGAGACATGAATGTCAGTTTTATRAAAGAATCACTAATTTTCCTTCCTCTAAGAATAGATTAACAGGTGTACTACGACTCCCCACTTATCTGTGCCAACTTTACTCAATGGACTCTCAACATCGTATCTTGATTTACTAATAATATAGTCATTATRATCGCTACGCTTGTTACCCGTTCCCCCGAGTACTTGGATATTTCATAAAAGGTATAGAGCTCCTTCTGATCRGTTTGTACGACAAAACGTTTAGTCGGGGTCATCATGACACACGACACGACCCGATCGTAGAGAATCTTGTAATTTGATAAAACAATACACATTCAATGAATGCTCTTCCAAACAATATACTAGCAATGGCTAACAACCATTGAAGGTCATTACCGAATGCTGCATTAAATAAATCAGGTGTCGATGGGTCTGGAAAACGCGATAATCTCACAATATAAAATCAACTGTGCACTCAAGCTGTTTCAAGACAGAATTAAYCATTGATTTGTAACCATTATATATTTTTCTTTGTAACTATGCCTTTTTTGATATATTCATCTTAAGAAATGCCCAAACGATACCTTCGAGATTCATTGACTTCATATCAGATTTTCCTCCTGCTTCAAGGAAGTTCATCGACTTAAGTGGTGATCGATTTTTCTGCCGTAGAAACTAGATTGCTTATCGTACCCCGGTTAATGATATTGGACGACGTTTTCCTATAGCTACGCATGCTCTGTAGGACTTACTTGACGGCAACCTCACTCCAAAWATAATATCACTCGACACACACCAAGGCGAACCCCCCTCCCCTCCCTAAAAAAAGAATACTTGGGTGATATTCGACGCGTTGGTGATAGTGTGGGAAGACGAATGACCCACGAATATTTGCAACAGAATATCTTCGAAAAAATGCAATTAACCCTTTTGTAAAAAGGTAAGGGATGAAAATGAAAATCGTTATTGCAGAAAAAGACGAGGAATAATAAACTAGCAAATCTCTAACTATCCTGATTTGGTATTAGAGATCAGTGGAGAGCTATCTGCGCATGCCCGAAAAGTGATAATTGCGAAATTGTGAAAGCTCTGTGAATTGTGAAACTCTCTGGTGGAAAAGACTCGGCAATTTGTTGGCTTTTGGAACTGAATCATTTTTCATKTTGTATTACTGGACAAACTGTGGCACGAATATGAAAATCGATGAGATGAAGTTTTGTACGGTCGATGTGACAGAGTCTTTTGGCATATACACCTGCTCATGAGTTTCATTAACGTCAGTCGACTAATTCAACGATCTGAACATAATTTACTTTAATAATCGCGGTAAACAATGCCTGGTTATGCTCTCTGAGAAGTTGTGGTGTATTTAGGAAGGACATCTTTGGCTGTTACTCATTTATCTCCTAAGACGAACATGAAGCACATAAACTGACTTCAGTGATGTTCATTGAMGTACTCGGATCAATATGGTTTGCTGGAATTTCTCTCATCGCAATTCCAGCCAATATTCTCGTCATGATCRTTATTTTCAAAAGCAAGAGATGTTTTGACTTCTACCATCTACTACTGGTCTTACAARGCTTTCGAGATCTACTGTTTAACGTTTTGGTTAACTTTTATACAGTCGCAACAATAGCTAATGATCAAATCATCTTTGGACAAACAGAATGTCGGCTTGTGGCTTTCYTATCRAGAGTRTGGTATTTTGGTACTGCCTTAACTCTTAGTGCGGTTACCATTGAAAGATACAACTCTATCAAAAACTGTCTTAGCCATAACGGCAATATCACAAAAAAACGACTTTTGCTTGTCGTCATTGTGTATATTTTATTGCCTATAGTTGCTGGTCTGCCTTTAGCTCTTGGCAAAACTCGATGGTTACACCTGATAACAGTGTACGGCTGCCAAAKCCAAGGTTTGGACGTAAATCACACAGAAGTTTTAATCTATGGAAGCTGTCTACTTATTGTCTTTTTAGTTTTTCCATCAATTTTTCTAATTAAAACAAGCATCGACATGTTTCTATTAGTTAGAAGACACAAGACAAAAATACAAAATACTCAGCCAGGTGAATTAGTTCCTCAAACCCAACAAACTCCAGAAAACAGAGAAAATAGCACAGAAGAAACTGACCAAATCAAACAAGCACGCGCTAACGTAAAAAAAGCGCATAGCATCAAAATAGCCAAAAACGTTTTACTAGTGAACTCCGGTTTCCTTCTTACGCTGCTACCGATATTTGCACTCAAACTTGTGTCTAGGTTTGTGGACAGCACTTTTACATCGACACCAAAAATCTTCATTGTGATTGTTTACTGGTTGAGCTATTGTTGTACTTTTTGGAGTCCAGCAATCAACGCTTTAAGAAGAAACGACCTTAGGCGCGAAGCAAGAAAACTAGTAACCAACTTAATGAAAAACTTTAGTTTAACCGATAGTCAGGGAACAGTGTGCACAGTAAATGACGATCAGTCTCGCCATAACGTCGAAYTTCATGGTATGAAATACATACGCAGCRTTCCCACCTGATGTTTTTCATCGTTGTATATGTTGCTAGTGGAATTAAACTTTACTCAAAAACAGTAGCTGAGACAAATATTGGACAAATTAATTATTATTTTTTATTTCATAGAAACTTATTGTAGAYTTGCCGTAATAAACTTGTTTGAAGATCACAGCCAACATATACTGAATCAAACTGGAGAATCTATATCAATATAGCGGTACTGCTTTTCGTTTTCCGTTCACTTCCATTAAATCAACGATGTTTCTCTCTATCTTTTATGTTTGCTTTCCGGTCCTCAGCTCTGGCTGCTTTACAATTCAATGTTGTATCATCATGCCCAAGGACACGTCAGTTTGAGAGCCACTTGAGTCTCTTAGAGATTTGACGCTAATTATATATTGAATTGACCCACATAATACCTTGGATCGTATATAATGGCCCATTACTAAAATCACTGTCCATTAAGGGCTTTAATGATGAGTTGTTGCGCAAAGTCATTCAAATACTCCTTAAAACCGTCCGCCATGCATTCAACAGTCATTTAATTTACGTGTTGTTTTTTCTATAGTTCAATTTTTTCTTAAAACATTCATTTACAAATTTAAATCTAAATTGCATGAAAAGTTTAGTAGAGTCGACGCACTAGAGTGCTCGCACTTAAAGCGTGAAACAAATAGTACTAATTACTACTAAATAGTGTTGATTATACAATAGGAAACAAAGAAATTTGTATAATTTATCACCTATTTTGTAGTATTTATATTTCATGCATTTAGTGCGAGCACTCCAACCCCGTGAAACAAAATAGTTGTGATTTATGCTAATTACCATTGTTTAACCAACACTATTTAGTAGTAATTAATAATATATGTGTAAGGGATTAAGTACGTCCACTCTAGATTATTAGATTTAATAAAATAGTAATTAAAACGATTATAGACAGAGAAAGCCTATTATGTAAGAATTAAGTGTCTTTGTCATCAAGCGGTAAGGGCGCGGCCATGAGGGATTTTCTGTCACAAAGAATATAACGCATTAATTTTGCTAAATTTGATTACAAACGGTTTGGAATATTCCACCATACCTAATTTGTATTCGCTCACATTTAGGGCATTTCCCTTCCACATAACAATCTCTATGAAATGATGCTCTGCAATCTGAAAAAAAAACGCAACAGAAAAAACACTTTCAAACCATTACCTTAGTAAGAATTTCCCGTCAAGAAACAAAGTTCCTAATAAGAAACCCTGACTTAATCCATTACACAAACAAGAAATACATAGCTTGCTTCTCCTTATCACTTACTTAGTTTTGATATTCTTAATAGTTWTATTTATGTTACCTTCCACATATTATTAGTGTATTGTAATTTATATGGGTGGCCATCGGTGGCCACAAGTTATTCAATTTTTCAATGTAACGTGTTTATTATTATTATCATCATCATTATTATTACTTCCGGTATAAAAAAACAGAAGAACGTTGGTTGCTGGATGTGATAGAATTGAAAACACCTGCCACGAACGCCTCATTTGTTTTAATTCGACTTGAAATTGACAAAGAGCTATAAAATAAATTACATTCATCTCTTCTCTGAGTATATTTGCAGCTCACGGAACTGACAAACTRCTGGAGTTCAATTTTTCCTTTGAAACGTTATTTTTAAGAATTATAAATCATAATATCAGTGTGCACACTATAATTATTTGCATAATTGATTTGAATATGTATAAAAAAAGGCATTTAGTCCTCTTCTCATAGGGCATGTTTTAAGTCAAACATGTTGTTTTACCAAGATTTTGAAACGAAAGCTATTATTATCAACATAAAATTAAAACAACTAAAAATCGCTCTCGCCATCGTGTGTTGCTCGCCATCTCATGTTTTTCTTCATTGTATGTTTTGTTCGCCATCTCATGTTTTTCTTCATTGTATGTTTTGTTCGCCACCTCATGTTTTTCTTCATTGTATGTTTTGTTCGCCATCTCATATTTTTCTTCATTGTATGTTTTTGGTGATTTCCATTCAAATGTCGATGAGTTTTTCGGTCAAATCGTCAGAGATTTAATTTCATTATCATTGTTTAGTTCAATTGCAAAACGCCTGAGGCAACAATAAGCGTGTTTATCAGAAGCACAATATTTCAGTTTAGCTCTTATCACTTTTCTCAACAAAGCACCAGCAACCGGATACATTATGAACTTTTATGACGGCCTGACTGAACGTTAACTTCGTTCAGGAAAAAACAGAAGGAAAGGAATAATAATTACAATAATAGGTAAAATTATGAAATACTACAAAAATAACAGYGGCGATTACCTGATATAGGGATTAGTACAAACAAATAATTGACTGATTTAGTARACTAATAAGCAGCTGATAAGGTGCATAGAGAACTGGATCCTAGTATGACGTCATAACTTACTTGAACACTGTATCACTCTTTCCAGTTGGTATGGGAAGATAATGTCATCTCCATTCCGACAGTATTCACAGATAAAACCTTTTGCTTGACATAGCTAGAATATAGAATTATATAAGAAATCAAAAAGTTTTTATTCCTACAGAAAATTTTCGTATACTTGTAGTATTGTGGAGAAACATTTAGTTTTCAAAGTTTATCTCAATAAGAAAGAGTGTTCGTGCTAAAACTAGGTATACTGAATTCGTAAAAACATACCGGACAATCATTGATATGGAGTAAGGACTGTGTAACAAGACTTTTAAAATAAGCTGGTAGTTCTCCACTTTTAACCTGAGGAAGAAACAGCGGGATGATAAGAAAACAGGAGCGAATGTCATGTTATGCACAGCGGCGTTTACCTGAATTAAGTCTTGCAATGAATAAAGATGTTCGTCGTTCATTAGATGATTTGGAATCCGAGAAAACTCCTCTTGTAAGCTGTTGATAAGTACAAACATTTTTATTACGACTAAGTTTGTACCCAGTCAACATATTTAAGGAGAACAGAAGCWTAACGCCAGCACCTCATCACTAGAAGATTTGAAATAATCACAAAAATGTCTATTAACTCGTTGAACCCATTAGTATTGTCAAGATCGACATCATGTGTTCAATGGAGTATGTTCTCTATAGGATTTGATATCTGCACAAATTAACCTCTTCCCCGATACAATGTTGGTCATTCTCCATTTAACAGGTCATCACATCATCTAAAAAGAGGCAACACTGAATGGGGGGAAGGGAAGATGAGAGAAATGGGAAAACAATGTTGGTTGCAATGTTGGTTAATCCGCGAAAACAGTTTTTTTGTCCTCGATTGTTTACTCCATGACCTACCCTCACAACGACCCACCCTCATAACGACCCACCTATATAACGACCCACCTACATAACGACCCACCCACATAACGACCCGCCCACATAACTTTGCACGACTTACTGTTCTGATTTTCGACATGTCTGTGCGAATGATCTGAAGAAGTAAAGTTGTTTACGAAGAATCTGCGAATTCAAAGTCAAGATTTAGTCCTTTTTAACAAATATTTGCGTCAACCACCACCCATGTCATTTAACATACCTTAATATTGTCTAAAATACGGACTTTCTGGTAAAGAGATGGRTTGAGATCTTGAATGTTAAACAAAGGATCAGCGTGGATCTTATTGAGAAGACCCAAAGCAAACTTGGACACTTCATATCTAGCATTGTGTTAAGACTAACATACAGATATAAGACTTATATAGGAAGATCAAATATAAGAGACTGATAACATAGATAGTTGCTAGACAAACAAGCTGTTTTTACAAGGATACTTTTTAAAGTCCCATCGTCGTATGACTCTTGCTGGTATAATCATGAGTKCATTATGATGACAACTACTACAAAAATACTTTCCTAAATAGTGACAGTATCGAAACCTTTTCATGTACCCTAAAAACAAAAYACATATCAACCAACAGCATTCATTGTGACCGTGAAGCTGTCATGTCTTTCTKTTCAACAGAAATGAATGCTTCGTCTCACCTGGATCGACTTGCATACCACACCCAACACAGCGATAGTTCTGTTCGAACATTTGTTGTCTTCTCCTTAAAACAACACAAGYAGAATCAGCATAAAATCTGAATGAGAATTTGACCGACGTTTTTTKTTTACAAACAACATCCTAAAAAAAATGTSTAGAACATGAAATGTACCTTGCCTGCGGAGGAATATGGAAAATAATTTGAAAGCGAGGCGGTGCCCATTCAAAGTTTCCACGAATACGACACTGTAATAGACAATGAAAAGTGATGCATAATACAACATATTTCAATGATATTCTTAATTTAGGATCTCAATGAAAACCAMTATAGGGAAAGAAGAGATCGAAACAAAAAAATAAAAGCACATGCATCTGTACTTTCGTTCACTGGGACTTTGTGTAGCTGTTGGAATCACTTTTAACATCTCTTTTTACTCCGACGAAGGATTAACGTCCGAAACGTTAGTAAGTTATTTCACCTACTTTTTTACGGTGTTAATTAATCTTTTTACACAACCATAACTTTCAACATCATCATCATCATCAACGTCATCACCACAATCATCATCACTAGATTGTTTCTGTCACCTATCMTATTTCGTTCCCAATGCCACATAAGGCCTTCAATCTGTTTCTATCTATTTTTATTCAGTAATATTTATCATCTTACAGGAAGCGATTTTCTCCGTTGATCATGCAAATCATCCACATCTCTTACGCCATCTTCAGGATCGACTGAGAAGGTTTGAGGTAATGGAAGCAAAGATTGTGGGACATCGTTTTCTGATACCAGCCACTGAAGTTCCGATGCTGCTGGATGCTTCTTATTTGCAAATTTCTGTAACAGACTCTTGGCAACGGCCTCGGCAGACAAAGGGGGAGACGCACTTGATTCTATACTTGATACGTCTAAAAGTTTTTCAGGGACCAAAGTTGTCTCCGATGCTGATAGTTTAGATAAATTAGTBATGTGTTCTTCTGAGATTTCTTCCCAGTCTGGAGAAATATCATCGATATCTACAATGCTCGATTCTACGAAAGAAATAAAGTCAATATTACCTAAGAAATCATTATTATATCAACCGAAATTGCTTTTAAGTAGAGATATCATGGATAGTTTCCCATATAAGATATATTGTTCTCCTCAGAAACAYATTTTTGCGTGTGGTTTTATAATATCAAGTTGTCCGTTCCTTTTTCTTCGTGCACAGTGGCGGATCCACCTGGTGTGTGCAGGGCATGCGCACCCCCTCCTGAGATCTGTATCCTTCAATACTTTCCTTATTTTGTATCTTCATGGTAATGATTTTTGTCGGGGGTGCACCCTCCTGAGAACCCTGCACCCCTCCCTGAGGAAAATCCTGGATCCSCCCCTGGTGSTCCTACTTACTTGACGAAGAAGTACTGTGATTAGACGTAGAACTGTGATTGCTTGGTGTCTTGGGTGTTCCGTCACTAAATGCAGGCTCAAGTCGTAATTTCTCTCGCTTTTTTTGTAAACGTCTTCGTTCTATTTCTAGTTTGAGAGTCTGAATTTCTTCATCATCATCGTCTTCGTCTTCTGATGCAATTATTTGATCACATTTCATCTGAAAAGTCATCGTCATCATCGTTATGAAGGGCATCATTAATCATCGTMAGCATAATTAAATACTGTCATCATTTCTTAATAAATTAATACTCTTAATACAGGTAGTAATATAAATCATAATACACTTCTTCATGCCTGGGGAATGGCAGACGCAAAATGTTTCTGCTTACTTGTTCGATCGCCTGTATCAAAGCTTCGGATATGCTGAAGTGAGCATTCTCCTGTAAAACAAGATCAAAGCAATAGTAATGGCGAGGTTTGAAGGGAGGAAAGAGTACTATTAGAAAGAATTCTGACCTTTTCTAATTCACATGAAGACAAGTCTTGCAATGCCAACATTGATGCGAATGAAGTTACTTCTTCGTGTGGAGATAGTGGATCGTTCTGATAGAATTCAACTAAAAAATACATATTTAAACTATGAAATCACTTTTTAGGGATTTATCTTGTCTTGAATAAAATGATTAGAACGAAATCGTACCTTCAGGAAGAGAAGAAGAAAGCCTGGAATTATTATCAGAAATGAATTTATGTTCCTCTTCGGTTCTTCTCGGTATTTCCTTAACACTTTGCTGCCGTTTTGTTGTCTTTATAAGTCTTGTTCCATCTGATCTTGACCGCGAATGACCAAGTGYTTTCTTGGATTTATATTCAGAAGATGAAACACTAGACTGTGTGTTATTATGTCCAAGTAWTTTAATGTCCTTATTTGCAGCAGTTTCAGTTTCGAAAACCCTTTCTTTTTCAATATCCTTWAGGTCATTCAAACTCGTACTTCGTCTTCGTTGCACACACGAGTTAGCTTCAAACCAACAAGACGAAGGGCTACCGCATCTCTCATCTCCTTCCATRACTGCAGTCAGAGCGACTTGAGCTAATGTCCCTTCATCAATATTACGTTTTTTACGTTTYKTAGAGTCAACTAAATYTCTCAAATGCACTTTTTCTCTTGCTAAATACATTTCATGATTTTCTACTAAATCTTTATCTAAATCGTTATTACTTTCTCGGTAAAAACTGTCAACGTTTAGTTCATCATCTTTCGATGAGATGTCTTCATCTACCTCATCCTTTTCATGATTGCAGTAGGTAGAAAAGGTATCGTGGTCTTTGTGCCCTACAAGAGTATCCCATGACTCAGAGAGGYTGTATGGCTGTTCTCCTTGGTCATGAGGAGTTTCTTCTTTGTGACCCTTGACAAAAATACAAATAGTGTCAATTATATAAATGATAGATATAACAGTTTATTCAAACTCAGTATAACACCTCGCAGTCTTTGATTAGTTGATTGACAGTCTATTGTCATCTTATTTTTTGATATCATGTTATCATGCATACCACAGTGTTGTTTATTTGTGTAAGAACATCAGGATTATTGGATTCGATAGCTTGTAGACAAATAAGTAATGCTTGACAATACTCAGGACTTCGTAGGAATGCATTTTCTACAAACAAAAATCATTACAGTATTAGCAAAATATATCCAACAACAAATTAAAGCAATATAAAATATAGAAACATCATAATTGTCATCATGACATCACATTATCATCATGACATCACAATATCATCATGACATCACAATATCATGACATCACAATATCATGACATCACATTATCATCATGACATCACAATATCATGACATCACATT